CGGCACACTAGTGTGCCGCGGCACAGTGGTTGAAAAACACTGGGCTAATGTTTCATTTAGTATTTAGCATCTAAGTTATTCATAACTTAAGACAGAAAATAACCAAAATGGTGGAATAGCTCTTATTTCCCTTGTCAGAATGGGAAATAAACTGCACAATCTTGTATTTGTTTACTTAATTGGGAGTAAGTCCCTCTAAATTCCACAGGGCTTCCTTTTGAGCAGAAAAATATAGGATTGCATTGTAAACATTAGAGGCTGCTGAAAACCTTGAGACCTAGATGTAGAATTAAAGAAGGGGTGCATTGAAGGTACTGCGGGTGAAAAGTGAAAAGCACATGAGACCATTTTCAGCATTGGAAAGATGGGAAAATGGGTGTCAAAATACATTAGGATTTATAAGGAAGAAGAAGGTGTGTGGATGTGTTTGTATTTCTCTGTATTTATAAAAGAATAACTGTAGAGTAGACAGCTGCAAATCAGATACACTTGCTTCTAGCTTCTTTTAGAGACTTTGCATGTAGATTTATGTTTATATAGATGTGCATTTAAATTTTTCATTATTTTTAAATGTTACCATGAGCCGCCCCAGAGATATTTAAGATGTCTGCCCAAATCAACCTTTGAAATCCATAAATAAAATGAAAAATGTATGTTCTAATCAGTGTGCTCCCAATTTACATCCTGAACTGAAACATTTTGGGCTAGTGAAAGTTTTTGAACATTTAAAAGCGCAACCTGTTAAAGGAACAGGTACAAATGACTGAGGCGCAATCTAGTTTCATCTGCTTGTGTCCTTGGTCCTTAGTTTTATTCATCCCTGTTACTTCTAATGCTTTTGTGGTTTTTAATGGTTTTAGACTTTTGCTTTTATTGTGTTGTAAACTGCCCAGAGTCGCTTTGAGAATGAGATGGGTGACCTATCAATTTAATAAATAAATAAATCCGCTTCCACAGGAAGGTCAAAAAAAACAAAATGGCAGTTAGAACCACGCCACTGGTGCCCCGCCTCTCTTTATGACGTATGTTATGAGAAGGTGGGACTTCGATGGTGCGATTCTGGCTGCCATCTTTTGTGAAACTCCACCCCTCTGCTCCATTTGCGTTATTTCTGCCAGTTTCTGTTTTGAAAATGTAAATATTGTCTGTCTGTCTGTCTGTTTGTTTTCCAGCCATGACTGGTCTTGTTGTACCTCCAATGTGAAAGAAGAGAAGGCATTGCTGGGATTTCTTCCCTGCCTCCCGCCCCCTCCTTTTTTTTTCTACAGCACAAAACTACTTATTTGTTATGGAACTTTAAAAAAAAACATGAAGCACTAGAAGCTCAGTTGATGGGGGAAGCCATGTGCCAGAAGGAACGGAAATTTTATAGCGTCGTTAAGAGGCTGTTGCAAGTTGAAGACATCAATACTCAAGAACATTTTTTTTAAAAAAAGAAAAGAAAAATAGGAATCGGCCAAGATCCAGATTGGGATTGTATATGGAGCACAAGCTTTTTGTTCCCTTTTTGTTTTCTTTCCCTGTGGACTCAAAACCTTCCTAATGTTTATAGAATATTAAAAGAAGGGACAGGTTGGCCAACCATTCGAGCTTGATATTTTCGATACTCTTTGTTTTACTTTGTAGGAAAAAAAAAGTTGAAGTTTCTATTTTCTATGGAGCCTTTCAGATACCAATTTAGTTTATGCAGAAAAAAAAAGAAATCTCAAAACAGGGTACCAGCATGAGGGACTTTCCTATAAAAACCGATATGCTGATATGAGTGGTGGAATGTTGGATATGTGTGTGTGTGTGTGTATTGACTTATAGTTTAATCTCTTTTCAGATGAAAAAAATGTAAGATGTTTTACAATTATTTAAATAAATAAACTTGTAAGTTATTGTATGTAGAGGTAGATATTGAAGACTTCGGGGGGGGACTTCTTTTTTTTTCTCCTATTGTACAATGAAAATTGGCAAAAAAATGCAGCAACAATTTCTTAACGCTACAACTTCTATTCAGTTCTCTCCTGCTCTTGATGGGAAGCCCTTACAGAAATGTCTCAGAATTCTTCACCAAGGACTCATCCACAAGCCTTTTTATACACACAATGCTATATATATATATATACATATATAAATATATACATATATCTCTCTATATATTAAAATATAGGACCATCGTTAATGTATGAATATTATACACTTTCTCATGTCTTGATTTGATTAAGGTTTCAGGGGTGTGACTTGTTTACTTTCATACCTCCCCTCGGTAACTACGTGGCATTTGTGATGTCTCACATCAGGTTTTTGCGTCAAATCCGCGTCATTTTTCAGGTTGCAATTTGAGCAAGAGGGAACCATGAGGCCAGGTTTTTTTAAAAAAAAACCCCCCCCCCCAAGTTGGTTGCTTTTCAGGAAATATTTTGCCTAATTTTTGAATATATAGCAAAAATCATGTTGTGTTGCAAAAAGAACGTTGATACCTACCTATGAGAGAAAATACTCTCCAGTGAATGTTGAGATGTTAACTTAACATTACGAATGAAGGCAAATTTATCTGTCCCAAGATAATGATGCAGGATCCAATCCGGGTTAGACACTGAGACCAGAGGTTTAATCTTTTAGACTTGTGCTGGAGCCCATCCTCAGAGAACTTCTCTCTACTGCAAGAGTGTCCAAACTTGGGAACTTTAAGACTTGTGGACTTTAACTCCCAGAATTCCACCATGGCTCCCAGAATCCCCAAAATTACAGCATGGCTGGCTGGGGAATTCAGGGAGTTGAAGTCCAGAAATCGTAAAGTTCCCAAGTTTGGACACTCCTGCTCTAATGGAACAGAAGTTCCATCTTCTCGCTACTTCTAACATTCTGAGAGAGAGAAGTTCCCTGAAGATGGGCTGCAGCACAGGTCTGAAATCCCGGAAGACTAAACCTTTGGTCTCAGTGACCGACCCAGATTGGATCCTGTAATGTAACATTCATGAATGTGTCTTTCATTTGGGACAATAACACTGATCCGGGCTCATCCATGTTCGTGTCGGACTATCAAACATCATCAGTTTCATTTGTACACATAGAGGTGATAAGTTATGTGCATATTCTGAATACGGTGTAGGAGCAGAAATGCGGGAAAGCTCGCTCTCTGGAAAATCAATGGTTTCATGGGCTTGGTATGAAGTGAAGATTTGGTTCATGAAAGACGTCTCCATTTTTGATGGAGGGGCAGTTTCTGGACATGCCAATAGTAGCGTATAAGCAAAAGTCCCACCATTAGAATCAATGGGAAAACTTAATCTGCACAAGATTTCCATATGTGCCTGTTTCGGATCTTCAGAACTTGCGTGGATCTAGAAATCGGGGCAGCGTCTCTTGAAATCCTCAAAGCGTATCTTGAATCCACTGATACATGGCTGCCCCCTTTTGATGTGTTGATTATTGATAAGCACTGTTTTATAAATCGTTTTAACTTTCCTAAAGCCTTCTCAATCATCTTTTGTTGCTGTCATTGTAACCATCTCTATCCAAGTTGATAATATGCCTATAAAATTTATAAATCACATTGTTTTTTTTTACAATATACTATTTATATATGTACCTGTATTTTAAGGTGAAATTCAAATTTCTGTGCACCCAGTGAGGGTAACTGTGTTTTTTTTCCCAGGGGAATAAAAACATTAGTGTTTTCCCACAATGATTGTTGTTAAAGTTCATGGTCCCCCTTTTCAAAAAGAAACAAAATCAGATTAATGCCAGAAAGGTGAGTTCGTATGTGGATGTATATTTTAAGATAATATGGTTGCAGGAATATTCTCTCTTTATTCATTATATTAGACAAATTAAACTCACTATCGGGGATCATAAGCTGTGATATTTATCCTGTTATTATGCTCAATGTTTTAAAAATCAAAATAAGAGAGAAAAGATTTTTTTCTACCCTTTTTTCCTTTTTTTTTCTCAGAAAGAGAAATGGATGCTTCTATTGGCTTCACTTTCACCGTTACTGATTTGAGCCTCTCACATCCTCCACTGCTACAGAGAGTCCTCGACTTATGATCACAATGGAGTCCAAAATTTCTGTTGCTGAGTGAGATATTTATGAAGTGAATTTTGCCCCATTTTACAACTGTTCTTGCCGAAGTTGTTAAGTGAATCACTGCAGTGGTTAAGTCAGTAACAGGGTTGTTAAATGCATCGGCCTTCCCCCTTGACTTTGTTTGTAAAAAGATTGTAAAAGGGAATCCCATGACCCCGGGACACGGCAACCGTCATAAATATGAAGCAGCCGCCCCGCATCCAAATTTTGATCACATGATCATGGGTATGCTATAATGGTTGTAAGTCATAAACCACTTTTTTCAGTATCGTTGTAACTTTGAATGTTCATTAAATAAACAGTTGTAAGTCGAGGACTACCTGTATTTAATAATGCCCTATTCATAAATATGGACCTGAATAGAGTTGTCCAGTTATGATTTGTTGAGATCAATTCAATACTATGATTTGAACTAGTCAGCTATATAACAGATGCTCACATCCACTTTGATATGGCAAAGGGTCTTTTCCCACTATAGCTTACAACGGTTTTTCTGAACTGGGAATCTCTATGGATTTCAGCCCCCCAAATTCTTTGAAATAGCCTCCAAACAAAATTGTAGGGTTTTGCCAGGAAAAGAGGAGAAGGGGAATATGACCCCAATTGTATTTTAAGAATACAATTAGTTTTATGTCTGAGCAGACATGCTGAATAATGGAATCATAAACTTATGATTCCATAAATTTGAAAAGGTTAGCTAATGAAACCAATACCACAGCACTTTCCAACTTTCTAGTCTAATTAAGGTTTCTAGGATATAATTCTATATTCCAAACTTTCAGATATGTGGATTTTAACATGGATTGCTCAGCTGAGATCATGCGGGAGTGCTTGCAGGACATGAGAAATGGTGCTTGATGCAGTTGCCTTAAGCAGAAATATTTTGAAATCGCTGAATCGGTTCTCATCATTTTAGCTAAGATCATGCAGTGTGTGTGTGTGGGAGAGAGAGAGAGAGAGA